TCATCGACTGTCCCTTTTGGTGACGAGTGACGTGCGTCGCCACTCGGATTTCGGCCCGAGGGACACGACGGATAACTCGAGGGATATGGCGAATCTGAAAAAGTTCTACCGGAAATCCCTTCCGGCGGAGTTCCTGGGCGTCCTCGGGTCCGGGTTGGAGGCCCAGCGGGCACGGATCGGCGGGGGGTTCTCGGCCCAGAACTTAAGGGATGACCCTGAAGCGGGGAAGGGTCGGCGCTGCTCCAGCGAGTCCCCGAGCGAGGCGTTTCAGCGGGAAATCAAGAACAAAGCCAACATGCGGCTCACCCAGAAGAATCGCAACATCCTCGCCGCTCATTTCAAGGATAAATTCTCCGTCAACAACGATCTCTTCAAAATGATCCCTTCGCCGGAGCCTATCGACGAAACGCAGCTCAGGTTCAAGGTATGTTGATGAGGTTTTTTGGTTTGGTTGGGAGAAGACGCAGAGGGCGCCCAATGAAAGGTTGGAGGGAAGGGATTGAAGCAGAAATGTTAAGGTGCTCAATCCCCCAAGATTTGTGGTTTGAAAGAGAGCAGTGGAGGTTAGGAGTCGTAGAGCGCGAGGGAGTGCTGTAAAGCGACTTATATGTATGTGTATGATGAGGTTTTTGCTCTAAATGCACCGCGTTCGCTGATAAAAAAAACCTCTTGAACCAATGCCGCGGTGCATTGACTTAAGAGTGCAGTTTCTTGTCGCCGGATTTAAGAGTCTTGAACTCTTGTTTCAAGCGGATTTTGCATTGATTCAAGCGGATTTTGCACTGAAACAAGAGTCCAGACTCTTAAATCCGGCGACAAGAAACTGCACTCTTGAACCAAGAGGTTTTTTTACCAGTGTTATCAGAAAGGAACCGAGCCGCGCCTCAGCCATTGCCAAATTTAACTGGGAATGTAATCTTTTAAAAGAGAACGTTTGTGCGGATTCCTTTGAAAATTTAAGGAATTAGCCTCGTACTATGCAGGAAGTTCACTGAAATTTGCTCAAAAATCTGCATAATCGTTTTCGTGTAAAAACTCAAATTGCTCAATTAAATTTGGCAATAGCTGATGAGGCGCCGTCCAAATAAACGGTTTTCCTGTTGGTGCCGTGTTGAGGGTCTCTAACCGCCTGGAAAATGTTCGATCCAGGATTCGGAAAATGCATTTTATTTAGAATTTTTATTTTGGAAGAAATTTGACATTATGTGCTACTGAAAGGGTTTAAGCAAGTACACGAGCCGCGCTCGTTGCATCACTCATTCATGAAGGAGACTAAATTGGTGACAATGACAGTCTATAGACAGTGATTTGGATTGCATTTTGCAAAAAGGAACCCCTAGCATTGCAATTATGCTAAGATTGTGCAACTTCATCCTTTGCAATAAAATTGCGGAAATTGTGAAAAACTATGAAATTTAGATGGTAATTTTTTTCTGAAATTTACAGTTTTTAGCGAGTAAAATAGAAACTATTAATGGATAATCGGGGTTTTCCTCCAAGACAAAAGAAGTTGCACAATCCTAGCAACATTGCAATGCTAGTGGTTCCTTTATGCAAAATGCAATCCATTTGATATTGATATTATTTTATAGCATCAACAGTAGGGCTTGAGTCAGTCTACATTCTTTTTTATTTTTTAAGCCGGGAAAATCTGAGGATTTCTCAGAAATATTACGAGCATAGTCAAACATGTAAAAAAGTCATAAAGGTCAGTGATTCGACCCAGTTTTCTTTCAGCTTACAAGGTATAAAGATGTACGAAGTAGCATCGGAGATTCGGTGACAAAGACGACAATTGGACTGCATTTTGCAATTTGGAACTATAAATTCTGGCTCATCCGAAAAAAAAAACACTTATGTGCATAGGGAAACTAATGGCACATACGTTGTTTTTAAACCGGGCCAGAATTTATAGTTCCAAATTGCAAAATGCAGTCCAATTTTGGTCTCATCGTGCGAGCATTGTCATGATGTTTTGATGATGGCTAGCCAGTCGCTCGCCAGTAGTCGCCAGTTGGTGCCGTCCACTCACCTTGACTTTTTAATTTGCGCTCGCGCTCTTCCGAATGTGGCTCCGACGGCGCACAGTGGATCGAGTCAATTAGAGAGGCCGGACACGAAATTTTTGACAAAAACTCCAAATTCGAGTGTTTATTTCATCACATTTTGGATTTCAAGGGGAGCTTTTAAAAGGAAATTTTACAAGGGAACCAATGGAACCACTTTTGGAGCCTCAACTGTATTTATAAACGGAGTTATAGGCTTCTAAAGTTTCCAAATTTTGTCCGACCTTTCCCAATGACTCGATCCACTGTGCGTAGTCGCCGCGCGCCGGCGCCGTCGGAACTTCTTCCGGATCAGCAGATCAGCAACCAACTCCAGGTCAAATAAACCTTAGAGGAGAGGGAGTAACCAATAACTAGGGTTACCGGCCGTCCGGGAAACCGGGAAAATCAGGGAAAGTTAGGTCATTCGCGACGACCGTGAAAAGTCAGGAAATTCGTGGGAAAAGTCATGGAATGGACCACTAGACAAGGTACAAATTTAAGTAATCTGATACATGTTTCCTAACCAGAATTTTACGTAAAACACGATTCTTACAACGAAAATTACTGAAATCAGCTCCTAACGAAGATATTAACGTTTTTATCTCACACTGGTTGCAGGGAATTTGAGCTGCCCGCTCACAAGAAACTCAAAGCTCTACGTGAGTCGAATCGCGCACTACAACGGTTTCAGCAATCTTTTCAATCGAGCAATGTTCATTTCCCACCATGTGTTATTCAAACTATAAGCAATTTGCTATAGCTGAGCCAAAGCGTCAAGATTGAGGTTGCCAGATTTTTTTATCGCAGATACGTTCATGATAACGTTTCGCGCGCGATGTGAATCACGTAGAGCATTGAGTTTTCATGAGCGGGTGGTTTGAATTCACGCATCAAGAATTATTGAATATCTTCGTAAGGAGTTGATTTCGGTAATTTTCGTTGTGCGCATCGTGTTCTACGTGAAATTTTGGTGAAGAAACATGAATCAGAATGCTGAAATTCGTACCTTGTCTAGTGGTCCATTCGTGGGAAAAGTAAGGGCATTTCTGACTCGTCTGCTGATCACCAAAATATACATATCATTGATCTTCTGACTGTCTACGCCCTTACTGGGTATTTTCAAGGCTTGCCATCTCTTAAGTAGCTACTAAATGCCTTTTTCTCTGATTTGATCTTCATACAAGAAAATTTTGTCCAAAGTTTAACGAAAGTCATCGTGTTTTTTGAAAAAAAAAAAAATTAAAAAAAGTGGACATTTTGTTTGAAGGTCAGGGAATTAGAAAATTTTGGAGTCCGGGAAAGTCAGGAAATTTGCAGATGACAAAATTATGGCGCGCCTGAATGCACATTCAATTAAACGTGCAAATCGAACGGTAAGCATAAACAGCTGTACGAAAATCTAAGGGGAGTGACATCTCAAAGTTTGTCTACTTTCAGAGACATTTTGGTCCATTTTGATCTATTTTCGGGTTCTTTTAGATATTTCCAACTTTTGACCCCTCTTCTCCTCACCAAATTTTGTTCTCTATCATCCAAGTTTTGACACTCGGATGTGGAGCAGTAGTTCTATGATATTCTAATCGTAATTTGCCGCAACGTAGGCACGATCAAATAGTGAGAAGATTGAAGGCGAAAGCAATATCTAATCAGATTTGAACATTTTATCGATGCTTGTTCTTTGTTTGTTCTTTTTTGGTATAGAGTGACTCCCAGGTCAAATAACTTTAATTTGTTCACCATTCTATCACTTGAAGTCGAATGCACTCATTATTGCCAGTGCAGCTAGTACTAGCGTTAATGCGGCGCGAGTTTCATTTCACCTCCGATTTGATGGCTATGCAATTTGAGCTACGCCGAAGTTGATATAGTTGTATCTTGCTCTTGGCTCCACGTACGGAGTTTTTTTTTCACAGCATAGTTTACCTCTAATAGAACCATCGTGAGGGGCATACAAAGCCCCCAGCCGCGTGGAGTACCAGTGTATTTGAGTTTATTTCAAATCATTGTATTGGATCATTGAATTTGCTTCGCAACATGCAAAAAATTCACTGGAATTCGCACAACCGTTTTCGTGTAAAAAATCGAATTGCCCGATTAAATTTGGCAATAGCGGATGTGGCGTGGTTCCTCTGTACTTAACGCGGTCTATGTATCCCTGCGACGATATCACTTTTGACTTTTCTCAGACAGGGTGGCAAAATTTCATGAAAAATATAATCTTGAAATTTCACGAGAAATATTTCATGAAATTTTAGAAATGTATGAAAGGTATTGAAAAATACTGGTTCCTTTTCATGTGTGTCGCAAAATGTAAAAATTGTGACTCTCTTCTATTTTTGTGTGTTTGAGTGCGGGTTGCATACTCTGGCCCCTGAAAATAAGAGATATTTCAGAGACATTGGAAATTTCATGAAATATTTCGAATCTTACGTTCCCTTCGCACGTTTCACGGTACACTGTTCTCAGCCGTGGTTCATCGTTGGCGTTAACGAAATGCACACTGAATAAAAATTCCCGGCGTTTTTACCACGGTCCGTTGGTACCTTTACCATCTCACTTTTTGTACCCATTATTGGTAGTTTTACCAAGACAGACTGGTAAGCTTACCTAAAAATCGGTATTTTTACTGTTTTTTTCAGGTAAGAATACCACTTTTATTGATAATCAATTCCCGGTAACTTTGCCATTTTATCTCGGTAATTCTACCACAGTCGATAAAAAATATTGGCGTTTCTACCAAGGTCCAGTAAAATCACCGAGAAAGTTCAATAATTTTACCGAGATACCTCGGTAAAATTACCAATTCCACAAATGGTAATTTTACCAAGAAAAAACTGGGATCAAATAGAACCCTGAATTCTTGGTAATTATACCCTTTTCTTAGTAAAAACACCGAAATTCTTTTTTCACCGCATCCTTTTGATTTGCGTATTTTTGATTTTCTGTTGGCAGGAGGCGCAGGAGCTGTTGAGCAAGCAGTTGAGGCAGCCGGTGATCCCGAAGTCAGTGTCGCCGCCGGCGGAGTTGGGGCACGGCGTCAATGGGAGCGGCGAGGGAGGCGGCCTGGCCGACCGGCTGGGAAAGCTGGAAACGGCGGCGCAAGGCTGGAAAAAGCGCGTCGGACCCACCGACGCCGTCCAGTTCTCCGTCGCCGGCCGCATGAAAGGCGCCAACGCCGAACCGAACCCCTCTCTCGTCCCCGCGGTCGCATCCCCCGTTCTCGAGCGCAAGAAGAAGGTCCCCAAACCCACCAGGTTCAAGAGCAAAACTGGTAAGTAAAAGTAACTAGGTACTCGTTGAAATGCACCACACTGAAAAAAAAAAAAGTAGCTTGGATCAAGCATGATAATTCTTGAATTTGCCGCCAAGAATTTTCTTTATCTTGCTTTAAGCTGACTTTTTCTTGATGCAAGAAAAATAATGCTTGGGTTAAGCAAAAAAGTAGCTTATATTAACCAGCAAAATTCTTGATTTAAGAAGAAATACTTCTTGGCGGCAAATTTAAGATTCTTTTTTTTCCTGTGCAGAGTTGTTAGCCACCTGCAAAACCTAGAGAATAGTCAGGAAACTTTATTTGGATTACATTTTGCAATAAGGAATCACTATCTCTGGCTCTTCCGAGAAAGCGCCTTTCCGCATGGGGAAACCAATGAGATATATGTCGTTTCTAAAATGAGCCAGGAATACCCAGTGGTTCCTTACTGCAAAATGGACCGAGTTTCGCAGAAAGGAACCAAGCCACATCAGCTATTGTCAAATTTAATCGGGCGATTCAGTTTTTTACAAGAGAACGTTTACGCGGATTTCTTTGAAGCTTTTTAAAAATTTTCTTCTTATGCAGAAATTTCACTGAATTTCGCACAAAAATCCGCACAACCGCTTCACGTAGAAAATTAAACTACCGAATTAAATTTGGCAGTAGCTGATGTGGTTTGGTTCCTTTCTGCTCCAAGTGTGGTCCTTTTGACGTTGATAAATTGGACTGCATGTAGCAAAAAGGAACCAGCCTGATTACGGTGTTATCAAAATTGTGCGGCTTCTTTTTCTCTTTCAAAAATACGAAATATATGTACTGTATCAAAATTTACAGAATTATTTCTCTTTAAAATTAACAAAAATTATTTAGTAGCAAAAACTATTTGCTATTTTTGGAGATTTTTTAGATAATTATGAAGAAGCAGCATTTTAACAACACTGTAATTGCGCTGGTTTTTTTCTGCTAAATGCGATCCAATCACAAGAATGGAGAATTTGCAGGTGTCAGTAATTTTGTGAATTCCAAGTTTAAGAAAAGCCTATCAAGTGAACTGAGCATAGGAATATCCTTGGTTTCTGAAATTAACAATTATTACCTAGTGGAGGTAGGTATGAGCAAATGACCTAATCTGCCAAGCTACCTATGTGTAAACGGGAAATGCTGCCTGATAACGTCATAAGGCCATAGATTTTTTAACTCTCAAATCTATTTTTGTACAATGCTCCATATCATAAAAAAAATATTATAAATGCCATGAACGCAGCTCAGCAAGCACTCCTTGGTGCAGCAATGAGATTTTTTCGTGCAAATTCTTCATTCAAAGAATGGGAAAACAAGAGAGAGAAAGTCCCCTCAAGAAAGGATAATGTTGTTTTCCCTTTCAACTCCAGATGCATGCAAACTTGCTCTACTTAGTAACCCTGTAGCAGCATGTTTCAGCATTTCTGTTTTGGAATGATTGATACGTAATGGGTACATATCTTCTTTTTTGAATTTAAAATTTTTTCGTGCCCTTTGTAATGTCCTCTGCTACCAGAATTTGGTCATCGAAATAGTCAATATTGAAACGCACAAGCGCAAAAAAGAAGAAATTTATCGATGTGAGCGAATTCAAATTGATGGAAGTATTTTAATGTCCTGAGGGTAAGGGAGGGATGCCCAATTTTCACTCAATTTTTTTCCTTTGCAAAGCCATGTTAGAAAGAACAAGAAATTGCACAGTTTTCACTCAATTGTAGAACAGAATGAACGAAATAATAAATTGTGTCCTCCTCGAACTTTCTGCAGCTGTTGGAAACAGCCCTTACGTTTGTCACAAACAATTCTAAAAATGAAAATTTAAAGAGGTCAAAATCAGTAACATCACTTGGCTCTCCTATTAATGATACCAACCTCTCGATAAGGATTTTATATCTATTTGTATTGTGGAATCATTCCTTCCTCTGCTTCTCTTAGGTTCATGGTGAGAAATTCAACGTTTTTTATTGTTCTGATGTTTCAGTGACCACCGGTGGAAACGACTCCTCTGAATCTGATGAAAGCAGCCACTCGCCAACAATAGCTGTTCCCGAAATAAATATAAAAAAGAGTCCATCAAAATTGAATGGAGAAATAAATTTAGTCATAAAAGGTGAGAATGAGTTGAACTCTATTATGAGGAATGGCTTACTACAGACTATACCTCAGTCATTTGGTGTACTTTCCCATCGGCATTTTTTTTCCCATTAGGGATAGAATCTTAATTTTAAGTAACATTCTTGTGTACGTAGCTCCGGAAAATTTTATTTACTTAAGCTTTTAATCTAGTTCCCTCCAAATCTAGTTAGGGGCTGTTCATGAAATATGTTACGATTCAGGGGGAGGGAGTTGAAGAGAGCACTTTGCCATCTTTTTTTTACATGCTAAAGAAAAGGGACCTACATAATAAAAATGTTACTATGCGGGGGAAAGGGGATCGCAATTTACATATTCAATGAACGGTCCCTTTTCGTATTCTATTTTTATTTAACATATTTCAGCCAAGGTATCTCTTCAATGTTATTTATTCTATACAATACTTAATGGGGTGAAGCTGAGTAACATCAACTTTTTCAACGTTCTCTGTTTACTATTGCAATGATTTTAGGCAAGTTGCTCTTTCTTAAATTTTTTTTTTCAATAAATAATTCACGAGTTTTACATGTGACAGCTTCAAAATCAAAATTTTCAAAAAATATTCTCTCTTTTTTTAATGCACTTCATATAATGTTTAATATTTTTTTTACGAAGACAGATGAGGACGTGCAAAAAATCAATTTTATTTAAAACCAAGTAAAACCTCAGTTAAAAAGATGAGAATATACTAGTTTTTCACAATTCATCAGATTTTATAATTTTAATCTTAAGCCCCTGTCTTGTGGTGGCAGCTGTAATTGTTTCAGTGCAAATTCAGTTTCGTCGCCCTAACATTCTTATTTTTTACAAACCCTCTGAGATACCTTTTTATTTAAATTTCTTTTCAGAAACCAATCAAGATCATCCTAAAGTTGAAGTTCCAAATACTTATGATGACAGCTTTTCATTGTTCTTCAGTGCTGCTCCAACAGTAGATTCCGCTTCATCAACTGATGTGAACAGTTTTGATTTAGATGAGCTAAAAATAGATCCATCTTTACCCAAGTGAGTAGTTTAAAATTGTTCACTTAACTTTCGACTACTTTTTACGATAAAATGAAATTCCACATCCAGCCCTTTAATTCAGCTCTGACTTCACCTGTTGCATCCCTGAAGCTCCTTGTGGTCTAAAGTCTGCGAACAGACAGATGTTATAATTAAAATACAGTTTTATGGTGGTGTTCAACATGACTCAGTTTAAAATATAATCATCCTCTGGATGAAGGAATGTAACTCATTAGCACTGTCTCCATATTTTTACGAACATTTTATATTTCCATGGTACCATATCGCACCATCTCACAAATTCTGCGAATTTTAGTGATTTGCTTGTAAAAGTAAAGAATGATCACTGGAAATTGCAGGCAAATTTATTCTCCTCTATAATAATAAAATTTCAGTAAGAAATACCGAAACAGCACAATCGAGATACGTTCCTTCAAGCGGAATACGACTATGTGACAGAGGAGGAAGTACCCGTACACTGTTTCATGAGATCACTTTTTAGTTTTTTGGTCTGTATCAATTTCTTTGTTCTAGTTCATGACTTAGTAATTAGTGCATTCCCCCAAACAAAGAAGTATTTTCTCTCTTTTGCTTTGAGCACTCACCTTTCAGCAGGATAGTTGCACAAGAAGTGTCGTTCAAAATAAATATCCATCGCTGACGCTTCTTAATTGAAAGAACTAACCTCCAACTCTCTTTCCAGGCTTGTTCAAAGAAGAACAACAAAGGTTCAACGAAGGAGAGAAGCTTCTCGCAATCCCGTAAAAGTTCTGGCAGAAAGAAAAGATCTCAAGCAAGAATATACAGAAATAATACATGGTGTAGCAGAAAAAGATTTGCGTATGTTAAATGTAGAAAAATGTAAGTATGATTAATTAATTTGGTCCTGTCATTTCAAAGATTTGTAATCAAATTTTACCATAAATTTCATGAAATACTTTCAACAAACCATGTAAAATTTGGTAAATACCAAACTTATACTTAAATGCCTGTTATTAGTTTTTAATACAATCATTCTAACATAGAAAAACATTTAAAACCCAGAAAAATTTTTAGTATCATCGTATTAATGAGGACATACATATATAGCCTGTCAGCATGAATTATGGAATGATATCACTGGAAAATTTTGTTTTAACTGCAATTTTTCAAAAGGATTTAATAATGTTTCTGTTGCGTGTTTAAGCTTGCTCTTTTTTTTTTGGAGCCCCGAACAAAAATTATTTTTCCTACACCTTCCATTTTATAATTTTTTTTCTCCTAGCTTTTCTTTTACTTGTGCTAATGTCAAATATCTAAAATCAAGAATTTTTTGTCACAGTATCCAAGAACTCAAATTTGGCAGTGGAGGCCTTAGCTGGTCTTGCCAGCAAAGAGGATTTTACAGCAGTCTCATTAAAAAAGCCGTCACTGCAGTCAAATGCTCCTATGTTGCCTTACAAGAATCTCATGTTATTACTCGTCAAGGGTCGCAGACATGTACAGACAAGACTGGTAGAACCAACTTATAAGTCCATCAATAAAGGAGACACTTTCGTTCTTGTCACACCAAATGAGGTAAATTGTAACTAGATTGCTGTAAAAAAATTAAACCCAATTCTCAAAATCTAACAGTGAAAAACTTCGCGTGAAGGTCCAATGGACAATATTTTGCCATCAGGAACCACTCCGGATCACCTAAAAGCATCCAACCATAATGATTTAAATATTTCACCAATTTTGTGCATCTACATTGTGTTCGGTGATGGATTTGAAAAAGCCATTTGGATATCGTTTTCCTTCAACTGTTTTTTTGCATGATCATTGCAAATTGTACATCCCAAGAAATGAAAAAGCGGAAACCGATGTGAAATGAAAGCAGTGCAGTCCTTTCATCTTGACTCGACTTTTTTTCTGCACTGGATCTAATTGAATGAGAAGTGGAGTAAATCAAAGTTTATAGAGTATCATTTCCTCTCAGTGGTCTGAAAAACAGTGGATATCTAAATAACCGATGATTTATCAAAAAATCTTCCAGATTTCTACATAATGCAATTTTAAGAAAATGGCAAACGTGTTTATGCCGAAGTTAGCCAGCAACAATGGTTCAATAGTCCTTTGGCGAAGCAAGATTTTTCTCTCTTCATTTTTGTTGGAAATAATATTAATGAATCTGCATGTACATTACCAATTCCTTTGCTAATTCTACATTTCTCCCACTTTTTAGGTATTTGAAAAATACAAATTTTAAGTATTTTCTTTATGATCGCTGGATTTGACAAATGATCTTATTAAGTATTTTTGTGATCCTGTATTGTCTTCATGTATACCTGTCTTCAGTCTTGTCATAAAATCGATTTCTGCAAAATCTCTCTCGAAACCAACATCCTAGGTGCTAAATTAAAGATCCTAAATGACCTGTACCTCTGACGCATTTATTATTTTAAATTAAAAATCCTGCTACATTTTTGGATTTGTCTTTGCAGATATATCTCTGGTTGGGTGAATTTTCGAATGTGATTGAACGATCCCGAGGAGGAGAGGTTGCCGCTCATATTGCTCAAACCAAAGACCTCGGTTATATTGGTGCTAACAATGTGATAACAATTAATGATGGGAAAAAATCAATTCATCAGGAGAAGTTTTGGACTCTTCTCGGTGCATCTGAAAAGGATGCAAGTAAAATTGAAGGTAAGGTTTATTTTTCAATCGGGTGGGAAAATGACCATCTCATCTTTCCTGCTTAATTAGAAAGCTCCTATAGTTTTATGCACTTGCTAAAGAATGTTCAATTTAAGTGAACCAATTCCACCGAACGCTTGCAAAAATTACGACGGTATCTTAATTTTAGAAATTGCCTACCTATCAGTGAAAGATAACTGTCTGGACTTTTTTTTGCACTTAGTGTTTCATAAAGAGGACTCTGAAAAACTAAAATAAAAAATCTAGGGGACTAGAAGTGTCGTCCGATAAGTTGGCATTTCAATTTGGAGGCGCAGGCAACGAATTTACACCTCTGCACAAAGTGTTGTTCGCTTTTATCCACCTTAAAAACATCCGTCTCATGACCGTATCGTAAAAAAACTACTTATCAGTTATAATCCGCAACTTTTATGTGGTTGTGATCTCTGTTTGGCTAAAAATCAAAGTGTTACAAGGTGTGAAAATATTAAAAAACCTATCCAAGTTTGTGTTACTACTTCTGCGAGAGTTGGATGTTTTCATGTGGGTAGTAGTAGCGCAAAAATGCCTGCAAATCGAAAGTAAACAAATGTCAACTTATCTGACGACACCTCTAGTTGTTAGTGAGAAAAATGCCAAGAAACTCTCAATTAAATGCCTGGTGTTATTGCATTTAGATGTATTTTAATGGTGAAACTTCAGGAATGCGTATGTATTTGATGATCGATGATCACTTACAATAGAATAAGATGGAGTTGTTAAATTAAAAGTTCTAGCATCATAAACTAATTTAAAGGCCACTTCATTTGATGTATCACTGTTAAATCATGCTGCTCTCAAGAGGTACAGCAAAATGATCCATATTAATACAGCTCATTTGTTCTTGGTAAAACCACCAAATATCAAATGATGTAGCCATTAAATCAGTCCATCAGAAATTTAAAAAACCTTAAATGTATTTAACAGAACAGAAATAGATCGATTGTATCTAATGTAAGTGCATTAAGAACAGAAAATGAGTACATGACCTAAACTATTATTCCCTTAACTGTTGATAGATAAGATGTACATACATTAAGCCGCTTTCACAGCGCAGCCTCATGCTCTGTGACGTTGATAGATAACATATAAACATTTTAATTTCTAACTTTTTGATTTCTCATATTTTGCTGTCTTGGTTTCAGCCGAAAATGCTGGTCATTTAGATGAAGATGAAATTTATGAAATTTCTCTCGTTGGAACAAACATGATATATGAAGTGGATGGCGATGAACTTGTACCAGTTGAAAAGTTTTGGGGCAACATCCCAAAGATTGAAATGTTGGATGCCAATAAAATATTAGTTTTTGACTTTGGAACAGAGCTGTATGTTTGGAATGGCAAAAATGCCAGTATGGAAAGACGCAAAATAGCTTCAAAACTAGCACAAGAGTTATGGGATGAAGGCTACGATTATACCGACTGTGATATTTCACCAATAAATGCTTCTTTAAGTTTAGGCTCAAGGACTCAAGGTCCCAAGTCTCTCGATAAAACTGGGACAAATCGACCATCTTTTACTTTAATTGGTAAAGTAACTCAGCATATGGAAACAGTTTTGTTCCGTGAAAAGTTCTTAGATTGGCCCGATTTTAACCGAGTAATCCGTACAAAGAGTCAAGAAGAAGACGAGAAGCAAATGGTGGCAAACTTAGACTTAAAACCCTGTGATATATTAGAAATGCAGAATTGGAAGCAGCCGGAACCAGATTTCACTCTCGAAGGCTCTCATCTTGGAAGGGGGACTGAGTATTACGATGATGAAACAAGACGTTACTTTGCAATTAAAACAACCAATGTTTCCATGTGGCGTATTGAGGAATTTGAAGGTGCAAAACTTGAAGATTCCTCGGTCGGACAGTTTTACTCAGGAGACAGTTACATTATTCAGTGGCTGTACACGGTCTCAGTTACAGGTTAGTGTCAATAGTTGATGAATTTTTCTTTCCATAAAAATGCTTACCTTCTCAGAGATCACTGGCACATCCTCGATTTTCAAATTTTCTCTGCTCAGAAGCCCCATTTTGAAGCTTTTTCAGTTAATTAGCAGTTCAACAGTGGAGGAAGATCATTACCATGACTGCCAAAATGGAACAAGTAAAGTGAATCGTCACCCAGCTCAGTATGACAATTTTGTGAATATCCTTTAGAAGCTTATTAGTATGTTTTTGAAGTTACACACAACAAATGTTGCATACTCGGGATGGAAAAGGCGATTTTCATATCTTTTATTCTGCACATCCTCGGACATCAGGGAATCTCAAAAAAATTTGTCAGGAATCTCATTTTCTTAATTTGTCGGCAACTCTGACAGGTTCCTATTGACTGATTTGGGGGCTTCAATATTCCTTCTTGTAATGAGTTCCAAAAAAGTGGCTGTAGTCAATAGGTACTGTTCGTTTTGGGTAGAATCATCAAATTCAAGGAATAATAAAAGCCAAGGTCACTAAATCGGTCAGTGCAGCATGGTTTAAAGGAATTCCTTCCTTATCTTAAATAATCCCATACATTTAATTTGTCCTTTATCATGTTTTCAGCAGTCTGTGTTTCTTGAAATATTCATCCTAAAAAACCTTGTTTTCCATTTTGTTTAATTACAGGACGAGAGTTGAATGGCATGCCATCAAAGCATAACGTCTCAGGTCGTGATCGGTGTGCTTACTTCATCTGGCAAGGTAGAGACGCATCACTGAATGAGCAGGGTGCAGCCGCATTATTGACAGTTGAACTGGATAAAGAAAGAGGTCCTCAAGTACGGCTTATTCAAGGACATGAACCTCCAGCATTCTGGAATTTATTCAATGGCTCAGCTGTAATTCATCGTGGAAAAAGATCTGAACCTTCCAAAAAAAGTATGTTTTTTCAATCAATTTCTTCTTTTGGCTGGGAGTTATTCGTAACCACTTAACTGTTTTAAGTTGCACATATTTGGTAGAAACGTCTATTCTTGATGTGGTGATCAGAGAATAACATTCATAAGAGGGATTTTCCTGCCTGTTTTCACAATCCTGAACAAATTTCTTTATTTACTGTCATCAGTTATAAAAATAGTAGTTCTTAAACCCCAAAAATGTAGTCATTTTGACCATTCAACTCAAAAGAATTTCCAAGATTAAAATTGTATATTTTATAATTACATATATATGTTTGTTTATTCTCATATTTTCCCGCTGGAAGTATTGAAAAACAATAACAGTCTTCAAATAGAGTAATTTCGAACCACCCTGTACATACCTATTAAAACTGTGCATCTTTGATAGCTAAAGACTGCTCTGGATGCAAAATAACTTTGAACCAATAACATCTTGCTCACCTACTTCAATGGATGTTCTCTTCAATACTACTGTGAATATTGTTATTCAACATAAGAACCCTTGTAGCTTCATACTTTAGCCTGCATGATGTCACAATAGCGTAGCTATGGCCTCTTTCTTCTCTTCAGCGTTCAGCTCATGCACAAACTAGGGGCTTCAAAGAGGCTCATCGGTGAAACTGTTGACTGTTGCCTCTCACAGATTGCCAGGCCGATGATCTTTGTCGGTAACTGATGTGTTCAGGACTTTTTATAGATCAGATCTTGAAATTTTCAAGGAATTTTGTGCAGATTTAGCTGAGAAATTGAAGAATTAATGCCAATTTGAGAGCCTCAGTTTGAATGTGGGCTGGGCGCTACAGACAACGATATGTCCTGCTTTGTTAACCATGTCAAAATGCAGTTTTATTGCAAGCATAGCATGTGGACATTACATTCCTTTCATTTCAATCAATAGTGATTTTTATTCCCCCAACTTAGATCTATTATGTACGTACATAAGTTTTTCAAGTATTTACTTTTTTCCTCAGATGCTTGGCGTTTGTATATGATTCGAGGTGAACGAGAAAATGAAGCGCAGCTAGTGGAAGTTGTATGCAATATCAAAAACTTGAGAAGTCGCGGATCATTCATTTTATTGAATCCTCAAAAGAGTTCTGTTTTTGTTTGGCATGGCTTCAAATCTCCCAAGATTACAAAGAAATGTTGTAATGTTGTGGTTAAACTCCTGGAGTCTAAACGGCCTCAAGAATTTGGATTTTCTTCTGGCTCAGAAATTTCGACAAAGGAATTTTTGGAGGGAGAAGAATCTGTAGAATTCTTTGAAGGTAAGATGTTTTTAATATATTTTCTCCTCCATGATAATGAACTTAGTGAACAAAACTATTTAAAAAAAAAGTAACTGAAGAACACTTTGTTCTAAAATGTGGAATCTCAATAGTTCTGATCATTTTAGAGTTCATGCTATATAAGTTTATATACTTATAGACGGCGACAGAGGATCCGCCATTTTCATTCTTGCACATACTTTCAATGTTAAATTGACATCAGGCAATCCTCTATTGCAGTCTAGAAGTGCATACATTTATTTGGCGTGGATTCTACATCCAACAGGAATAATTTGAATATTATTTTAGGATTGAAGAAAGTATTTCAAATGAAAACTTTCTTTTATAGACACTCACGAACACAAAAATGAATATGTAGATCAATTTTTGAAGAGAGCAAACGATCATGGGAAAATTATTCAGATGACTTTAAGTAAGAACATATTTCTCTCAACAAAAACAATTCCTCCTCCAGAGGATATTTTGACTGACTAATTTGCTCATTCTGTTTGTTTGCTTGTTTTGTTTTTTGTTTTTTGTTTTTCGTTTTTTACTTATAATTAGTACTTAAAAATATTTTATTAATTTTAGTTTTTTTATAATTAAATGCTAAAATAATTTTATAAATTTATTATAATATATTTATTTATTTTTTTTATCAAAATCAGCGAACATTTTAATGCAATGTGTGAAGGTAGTAGCACTGAATTTATTGGAATTTGGAGTGTAGCCGAGTGCTAGAAATAATGTAAAATTTCTTTAAAAAACTTACATTTTATTAACAAACTTTTCTCTTTATATAATGGGCAAATTCTGTTAATAAATTTTCTTTACTGAAATTCAATAATTTATTTTCCAGGGCTGGGAGGGAACAACCGTCATCTGTACCATTCACTTTTGAAGAATCCGGACTCGACAGAATTCAGTTCTATGAAGTTATTCCACTTCTCAAGCATGTTAGGTGTTTTCCAAGCAGATCCTGTCATTAGTCACTCAGGGTCTTACTTGCAGCAAGATTTGTACTCAGCTAGTCAACCAGGTGAGTTCGCGCTGAGTGTAATTTTTTTTAATAGAGTGGCATGAAGGAGAAATGGAGTGCCTGGGGCTCTGTCTGCATGGATGATCATATATTATCACCTGTATATTCCCCACCTACCTGACACCGTGTTCAAGATTTAACCTTTTAACTCTAGCTTTAAATTATGAGGAAGTACGTAGCATCAAGTGCTGCAACTAGGCATAACTCGCTACTTTCTTCCTACATTTTGGAAAAAATATATAATCTACCTACACTGAATCTTACAGTCTGGGATCAGTCATGAGACATGCTTGTGAACAATGTTGAATTCATGGTAGAAATCCTAACATTTCTGAAACATGTCATTATTGTCAATATCTCCTTTTGCCCCAAAAATCTGATCGTAGTTGATCTGAGTAGGTGTGTAATTTGCATTGTCACTGTTGAAACATTTGTTTCAAAACGTAGCAGAGCAACTTTGAAGTTAAGAAATAATTGCTAAAAAAATTTTATTTTGTCTCTTTGATAATAAAAATGTCAAAATGCAAGAACATAAAGCATTACTCACTAAAAGAAAATGCATGACCCACTGTAAATTTCTACAAAGAATTCATACTTTTTTTTCCTCGTGGAACGAATTGAGGTAGGTAAGATTTGGGTTCAAAGAGTTTTTTCCAAACTTTTTGGTCATTGCACAGGAGGCAAATATGTGATGCTCCTTTCGAGATAAATGCCGTAAAAGATCTCTGCCCTAAATTAGATGCATATTTTATGTTTTCCTTATGACAACAGATTCATTTTAATTTTAATAGATTCTGAAAATTTTAGTACTGCAAATTCACCTAAAATTCCAGTTCATATTCTGCTAGGATGATATTATCTACTTTCTTATGCAATGCTGCGATCAATTCCTAACTAACTGAGAGAGTAAGACCACTTGAAAGTACTGAATATATTTTCCTTTGTTTGCAGCACTATTCCTCCTAGATACATCTACAGAATTGTGGCTGTGGCAAGGCTGGTGGCCAATAGATGGAGATATTCTGGATCCAGAAAATGAGAGCCCTGTAGATGAGGCCGGGTCTGGTGGAAGTCAAAGAGGGGCTGCAGCCATCAGGTGGCAAGCAGAGCGACGAGCAGCCATGGCAACAGTATTGAATTATTGGAAAAATGCGCACCCGAGCGAGAGTCCAAAGGCAAATCTTGTTTGGGCTGGACTCGAGCCGTCTGAATTCACAAATCTATTTCCAGAGTGGATCGATAGAGATGATGTTGCTGAGTTGAACATCAGAGATGGGAGGAAACCTTGCGAAATGCTCAGTGTGGAAAGGGAATTGATGCGGCTGACGAAGTCAACGTACCCTCCAGAAGTATTGCTCCAACGTCCACTTCCAGAGGGTGTGGATCCCACTCGCTTAGAATTGTATTTAGAGCCCAAACATTTCAAGGTAACTATTTTTGCAAACAATTTTTTGCTACTGAACCTAACCCTGCTCCCAAGAATTTGTAGGCCTTGTCCACACGAGCGCGGTTCGCGGAACTTATTCCGAGGAACTTGTTCCCGGAACAAGTTTTAGCTGAGCTAAAAACTTATTCCTCCAAAACCCAGAACTTCCCCCGTACTCCGAGCTTCTATATATGTTTCTTTTGATAGGAATTTGTTTGTTTTTGTTTTTTACGTCCTTTACATGTCTTGACATTTATTTTTGTTACTTTTGGCGGCCGTAATAATCTATTATTTTGCGATAATTGCATAGTTTTATTGAAGTTCCGGTTTCAGTTCGGGCGAACTCGTGTGGACAGCATGCCTTGTTTCAAGGAAAAAGTTCCGGGAACTGAGCAGTTCGTCGAATAAGTTCCTCGAACCGCGCTCGTGTGGACAGGGCCTTATGTTTGTCTGGGTCCCGAGGACTCAAGTAGTTGAGACCACCGGTGGGAGAGTGGGATTCCAACACGTTTTCAGGTGTTTCAAAGATAGCGCTTGTTGATGTCCTCAGTAATATTGTTTTAAAAATTTTCATATTCAGGACAAAAATTGTTAGTAAATCAATAAGACAGTCGCGCTAGCCCAGTAAAATCTGATGGTGCTTGAGATGCTACTCTTCTCATGGAGGAATCTTTTTTTTACTATTCTTTAATGAACGCCATTCAAAAATCTTCCAGTAGAAATTTCTTAAGTGCAGTAGTGTTGATACGCAATAAGTACTTTTTTCAAACTTGTTCTAAACTCATTTAATGTTTTGTGTTTTAGGAACTACTCGGAGTAACCAAAGAAGAATTCATGGAGTTGCCCTTATGGAAGCAAACTAAGATGAAGAAAGAGGCGTGTTTATTCTAAATACATTTTTTTGACTATGGCTCATAGTTTAGTCGATGAATTGCCGTGCAGTAAGTGTAAAATATAATTTTAAAAAATCTGTCATTAAAAAACTCTTCTGCGAAGAAATGCACTTTTTGGAAAAAGCGATTCTCTCCACAACTCTTGCAAGAGTGAGGAAGATTAAAGATTTGCATTTTTGCCCTGTGTTGATTTCATCATGATTTGTTAAGCTCTACCCACTTTTTTTTAGAAGTTCTTTTAGAGCTTGCTAGAATGTTGAACTCATTCTGATCTTTGACCTCTAATTTATAGTTACCTAAAGTGGTGTTATTTCTCGTAACATTTTAGCTGTTTGCTATAGCTGGTGTCAATCCCAATTATAGACCCCTGAATTAGTGGTTGTTTTTGCAATACTCCGCAGCAAATAGTTAAAATGTTACGTTTGGAATACTCCAGCAATTTTGACAGGAATTTCTTTTTCATTCACTCACACTTAACACGTTTTTATACATTCTGAGGGTTATTTTTATTCATATCAGTAATTACCTAAAAAATTTAATCCCATCGACAATCAGTTTTTGTTCATAATGGAGAACTTTGCCTACTAGGTCTCAGGCCTTCATTATTCCCATTTGAACCTTCTTTCATGCTAAGTGTCTTTTTTTTACCTTCGTTAAGATTTGATACTCACATTGAATTTCTACTTTACCATTATTCCTTTTTCTTTTTTCTTCTTTTTTTTAAAAAAAAGTTAAAAACCACTTTCTCCGTCTATTTTGTATTTATTATACTTATCTTTTGTGAATTTGTATACTTGGTTGTAATTTATGTAATTTTTTGTTATTTTTGCTACTTTATTTATTAGTTTTTCTATTTATGTACCTAGTTCAATAATTTACTTTTAATTAACTTTTTCTTACTCTTGAGGCATTTATTTAAGTACTTCCTAATTCTTATTAATTCAATTTTGTTACTCTTATACTTCAAATGTGTGTCACTTTTTACTTCTTTGACTAAAAATTAGAATTTTTTCTGCTTTTCTTTTGTAAGTAATCAAGCAACTGCTGTATTCATTTAATTTCTAAATAGTGACCGCCATGATTCCCCCCGCTCTTTTTTGGACTGACTTTCATACGTCCTGAATAATATCTCGTTACACCCAACGAACAGAAGATTTTCATTTTGTAAGTTTTGAGGTCTTCATTACACCACAACCGTACACCAAAAGTTAAACTCTTTCTTATCTCATAATTTGATGTTTAGTCGTCCGAAATGTATTCTAGGTAGCCAGGAAGCTACTCTGTCAGGATGATTTCGATTCATTTGCCTCGTTTGCTAAACTGCCTCAGTGTAAAAAAGTATTCAGTCAGTGAATTGATAAAAACCCAATCCTTTTATCTGATAGAAAATTCCAAGTTGAACCTGGCCTATAAAAGAACTTTTTCCACAACTTTTCCTCAAGAAAATCAGAAGTTTTCTTGTGAAAATTAAATTTTTCTTTCTCAACCATTATGTCGAGCTTTAAACTAATTTTTTTCTCCTTTGTTATACTGTTTTTTCTAATTCAATTCCAATCCTCATTTTGTTAGGTTCTGTTTGAGGGCAAGATTAACTTCTTTTTATCACTATCTATCCAGGCTGTGCTGTAAATTAATGAATTAGTTTCCATACTCTGTTTGTCTCTCTGAAATTGAAGTTCTAAGTGCCAATTTTTTTATAATTTTTTCCATTTCCAACTTCTTGGTTTTCAAAACGACGTGCTCTTATTCGAGAAGGCCACTTTAAACACGTATTGTTCCGTTAAATTCAGGAGTGGAATTTTTGTTCATTGGAAGTAGGAAACAGCTGGAAAAGGAAAGAAATGGGGGATGAGAATCTGTGTTGAAAATGAAATACTGTTGAAAAAATTTTTTTTGATCTGTTTTATTCAATTTTAAACGTTTTATGAACTGTATAGGTATGGATCGCTTCAATCGAAATTTATAATGAAGAATGGAACTGGATTCTATAAAAATTAGAAGACTTCTGTTTTCCTTGATCGTTGGTAACATTTTTTACCATAAAAGTAGATGCTGTATCTGTGCCTAATTCACAAAATTTTTTCTCCAAATTTACGCAGCTGCTCTTTAGTTGAGGAGTATTGAGGCAGATTCAATTTCAGCTTTGATTACCTACTATTTTCAATACCAAGTCAATTTCAATCAGTAATCAAGATTTCATCCTGCATGAAGAAGTTTGTAGTGAATGATGGCGAACTTAACGTGAGGACTTATCTAATTTTTTGCCAGTCATTTCTTTGATATTATAAGCGCTTTGTCACACAGTGAACATTTTTCAATCAAATTATAATATCATCAATAATATCGATAATTAATGAATCATATTTTTCAATTCAAACATGTACATATCAAATATGTCATGAAGTTGCCTAATCTCTAATCAATACGTCTTTTAATGTTTTATCTTCATATTTTTGCCCTTCATCTTATTTCGAAAAGGCCTGTACTTCATTTTTTTATGTAAAACTATCGCTGTGTCGTTTAATTAATACAGCCGTTCTAAAAATGCCTACCTATCTGCCTGATACGTTTTTTTTAATCAGAGAAAATGTAACTCTATTTTTACTAAGCCTTTCTTACTAATTTTTTACCATTAAAGTATTTTTATTAATCTATTTTTAGGCCCGATTGTCCAGGAACAATTCTAATGTCTGCCAAAATTCAACCTACAACTTCTCTTTGAACCTATGTCAATATCTTAGTAGAACTCCTATCATCACAAATCTATAGTTTTGTAATTACGTACATACTTACGTTTGTGTAAAAATGTGTAAAAGAAAGAAATTTAACTCTTTTATAGCCTGTGTTTGAAGTAAAGAATCTATTTTGAAAACAAAAGCCTATTGTATTTCCTTATTTTCCTTTCTTGATTGAAGAAATAAAATATTATTGAATAAAATTTTCATTTGAATGTGTTGTATGCGAAGAAAGAATGGACCACTTGACAAGGCAAGAAATCAAGCACTACAGAACATGTTTTCTCATCAAAATTTCACGTAAAACACATTGAGTATACGGAAGCCTTTAAGTAAGAAATAAACGTTTGTAATTTGCATTTTGATTTGTACATTCAAATTGCCCTCTTGGAGGAAAACCGCAATCAACGCAGGCAAAACTAGTCATTGAAATCAACCTATATGTCAAGAGAATGGCTAGAGCATTTTTCCACTCACATTTTCTTCTTCCTCTGGTACAGGATACCTTTAATCTTGACAATAAAGTCAGTATGTGCAGAGGACAATATTTCTGCTGTAAAATATGTCAAAATTAGTGTAATGCTTTATTTGACTCAAATAGACTATGGTTTTTTTGGTGAGTGGAAAGTGTGAATCTATGTGCACAAAAACCATTATCTTCTCACTCAGGAGCTATATTTGGAATAAATTTTCATGCGTCCATCATATTCTACGTAAAATTTTGGTACATACAGATACATGTATGGTAGTGGTATGTGTGGTAACTTTGTATCCTGTCTAGGGGTCCATTTGGAATCCATTTTGCAATGAGGAGCTACATTACTACAATTTCTGGCTCATTTGTCAAAACGTTCATGTAGGCAGGGAAACTAGTGGAGCATACAGTGTTTAGTATAAACTGAGCCAGAAATTGCAGTACCTAGTTGCAAAATGCAATCCACTTGATAGGTACGTCCAGAGTTGACAAAATTATGCAAGCTTCTGACTGAGCCCGAAAAAAACGGAGGTAAAAAATTAAGTGTGATTGTTTCGAGGGATTGATCAAGTTGCAATTTAAAGTTGTTTTCTTGCAAGTACGAGTCAATTGCATAATTAAAGATTTTGCATTGATAAGTTGCAAGAAAAATTGCATAGATAGAGATCGAGATAAATTTTAATGCAGATAATGGGTCCCTTGAAAAGTTGAAAACACTCAAATAAGATATGGAATACATTACTGACATGACAGACGCAATCTTGGCAAAATTGATCGAATAACAGGTAACATGTGCAAGTATTAGCTTTCACAAAACGAAGTTAAAAATTGTTAACAAACGAAACATATAATACCCGGGAAAATAAAATATTATGATCACTTAACACTGAAAATTATTTACAAAATAACACTTAAAATAACTTAGGAATGATAAGGCAGGGCAAGTCAGCGGATCAAATACTCATGAAGCATTACTGCAGAATTTGAAACCTTTTTTCGCTAGATCTTCTTTTGCCAAGTTGATTTCCTACAAGCGGACAAAGGAAAATGAAAAAAATATTGCCGATTATAAATCATGATTAGATACAGTGACACTTTAAAAACCAAAAAACTTTGGCATGGTGTTTTAATTTCAAACACATTTCTTTTTTAAAGGATCAATTTAATTTCAAAATCCACACCAATTCTGCATGTATCAGAATTTTCAAGCATTCTTGAGACGGAAAAATTAGAAACAAGATTTCCTACAGTAAAAGGTGACTGATGCAATTAAGGTTCTTTATTCAGTTTTTGATTGAACTTCAGCTGAAGGAACAAAACTTGTTTACAGCTTTTTAATTTGTCAATTTTTCATGCTTACATTTATGGCTCAAAACTTGTTTACAGCTTTTTAATTTGTCAATTTTTCATGTTTACATTTACGGCTCTATCTGCAAGTGTCCTGTGCCTGTTAAGCATCTTATAGCTCCGAATGCAATAGTTTAGGACTATTGACGTATTTCATATGTTACATATCAACAGTCAAGCTACCAAACCACGTATCTTGGTTTGCAACATTGTAGGCTTCCTGTCATACATCATATTTTTTAAATGAAAAGCAACTCAATGTCAATTCTTAATTTAATAATTTATCTTCTCTATGCAAATCAAAATCTGGAAATACTTCAAGGAATACCTAATGTTGATTTGTTCTCCTTTAAAAAACTAAGATTGGAGCATGGATTTTCAAGCACCGCTAACAAGATACTAGGTTTGCGAGTTTTACTTTCGATATATGTTAGAAATATACATCAAGGGTGAATCTGCAAAAATGTTTTACTTGGTTGCAGAGTTTCTTAATCTTTGCTTCTATTTTAATTGTTTTAATGAAACTGAACCAACATCACGCCTTGAAATTTGTATAGAATATTTTTCACATAGAGAAGAAACATTATTGAAATTGTAAAGAAATGAAGTTTAGAAGTTTCCCATGTAGAAAATAAAATAGAAAAGGACATCTGAAATGCCATAAACCAAAATACGCATTTATGTAGTTTCATCACTGGTATGTTATAAGCATACATTAGATAGAGACACGTACAAAATGGACAAGGTGTTTCTAAAATTTTGTCTGTTGCAACTAAGAGGTGTTGAATCTCATTTGTTTTTACTTCATAGCTATACGAGGTCTATTAGATTAGAAACCGGATTTTGGTGATAACTAGCCCACAATGCGTCCGAAATAGGTTTTCTTGGACTTTCCTGAGAGCTGGAAATATACTTACGAACGCTAGATTCACAGATTTTGATTATCATGATGAGTGTTCATTCTGTGTCACCTTCATTACAAGTAAGTCAGGTGCGTTCTGCAATTTTCATCATGCGATCACTGATGGAGCAAAGATTTAACATTGAATTTTGTTTTAAACTCTGTATACCTTGTACCGAAACTTTTGGTATGCTAAGTAAAGTTCAACAAGATCATTGTATGAGTTGCTCTCACTGTTTTGAGAGGGTTAAATGTGCAAAACTGGCCAGGAGTCCGTCAAAGATGAGGAGCACGAGAATCGACCATCAACGGCAACTGACATTTGCCACATGGAAGAAGTGCGGGCAAAAGTGCTGGAATGTGGTCGTTTTGAGCTTGCTGAATAGTGTAATATTTCTGAAAGCTCTGTACATACAATTTTGATAGAATATGTGGACATGCATCAAGTTTCAGGTACACTTGCCCCTTGATTGTTGTCTATTGGACAAAAATTCAATGTCAATTTCTCTTTAACTGCTTGAACGTTCTAACAATGATCCTACATTTTTTGATAGGACAATTTTCGGTGACAAAACTTGAGAGTGAGGCTACGATATGGAGACAAGGCTCCACTTATCCTTGTAGGTTGAAAAATATAGTGCAAGACCAAAAAAAAAGAGAAAAGTTCGGCCACACATAAAAATCGCAGAACACCCATGAGGTTGCCTTACTTCGAGCCACATACCAATGAAGTTAATTAGAATTTTTCAAATTTGTGAATGTAGCATTCTCAAGTATATTTTCAGCTATCAGGAAAGTCCAAAAAAACCTAATTTGGACGCATTGTGGGCTAGTTATCACCAAAATCTGGTTTCTACTCTAATAGACCTCATAAATGCAATGAAGCTCGCCTTTGGTTGTAGTTGGGTGGAACATGCAAATATGCACAGTGAAAGCAAGAGCTGGAAAATTTTAGCTTTCACATCAAGCCACAAAATTTTCAAATGCAAGCTGATGCTTACATTTGAAACCAGATTTCTCAAAACTTTGAAATAAGATAAAAAGTGCTTACATTTTGTAACTCAGCAGCTGCCTCCTTACAATTGTTGAATGTAAAAACTCTCCATAAGACAACAGTCACCGCATAGACCTACAAAAAATTATAATAATTCTGAATTTAAAAGACAAACGAACAAATACTTAAAAAAGTAACGCAAAAATCTACGTATTAGCTGTAGTAGCTGTAAGTACATAATTGAAAAAAGGTTGAAAGGAAGTAAACTTTCGTAAAAACAGAAGGGGAGAGAGGGAAATTGCATGAGATCGAATGAGACAGGACAAAAGCTATGCAGATAGAAGTGATGACACACGGTGTGCATCCAGAACTGTAAAGATTTCAGTACGAAAGAATCGCTTACTCTGGGCCAAACGAAGAGAAAGACTTGATGAGTAAATCAAGTCAGCGGGGGAGAGCGGTGCACACTAAGTCGGGTGGATATGATGCAACACTGAAGCCTGCTTCTTTCCACTCTTGGTCACAGCATAAAGCAGTGTCAGTCCTGGTCAGGCATTTATCAAGGCGTATTGTCCCTGCTGTTCCTTTGATGAGCTGAAAGACTAACTCAATTTCACCAGTAGGGGTGTTCAAACGAATTCTTGCCGGAATGCTATTGGTATCGTCTTAATCCGATACTGGTAGCAGTACCGACAGTGGCGATGATATCATTAAAAGCCGGCCTTGTCGGAATTTTGAGAGCTCGCACTCAATGCATTGTTGCCCCATGTGTTGGTTTGTCAGATTGGCTGGCGCGGCGGCGCGTAAAATAGATGTACACATGGCGACAACTTATTTTCGTCAGCTCCGAAAACTCAGATCGCTATCGGTAAGTGTGCTCCTATCGTAACTTTTTCTTAACAGAGCTGTTTCGGTAGCTTACGGACAATTGATAGAACAGCCCTATGCACCAGCATTATGCGAAAAGCAGGATCGCTGTGCAAGATAGGCATTTAGTGCGGACATTGGGGCTGCATCAGACAGTGCGCTGCTGGAGTAGATACTTCAGCAAGCCCGCTTAGCTTGCAGTCCCAACCCCTAGCATTGCTCAATGACGCCACCTCGCCTTGTGATGCCAGCCTCTCAGTTCTTCAAGCAGGCAGAATCATTTATTAAGGTTGAGGCGCCAGCACCCCAGGCTGAGCTACTCTCCGTTCGTAGATACATGCCTACAGCTCATACACTGTGCATAGTTCCATTTGACAGAATGTGAAATCCAGCTTCTCCAATTCAGCAAACGGGACTGTGAGCCAACTAAGTGCGGCAGTCATGAGTCGTGGGCATATGTCCACAGCGTTGTGGACAGGGCTCATGCCGTACACAACCGCGGCGGCAGCTTCGTCACTGTCGCTTTATATTTTCCATTCATTCTTATGGCCCGAGCACTAACGAGCACACCCCATCTTTCCTCCTACACATAGTTCTCTTTGATAGAAATACGTCCAATTATTACAAATTCTATCGACTGTCAAATGACAAACCGAAAACATTTCAAGATTATTGTATCAGAGTAACAAACTGACTCGTAAATAATACTTACACCAAAGTGAGCAGCAATAGTTAAGGGTAGAGTGTAAATAAAATTCTTCATATCTTCCAAAGCCTTGTAATTTCTTATGTTGAAGATAAGAATTGCCCACAAAAGAAGAAATGCGAGACCGCCAGCAACCCACTCAAGAAGTTTAGTCATTTTGAAAATAAACTCAACTGACTGAAACGTGAAGTTCAACTCGTTACTGAAGGGGGGATTGTACTTCGTGAAATCTTCCTTTGCATTAAATGAAATAAGATTGTTGGGTCAGCAAAAATTTCTTATCAAAAATAAGTGATAGGAATAGGAGTCAAGCAGAATGTTTACGTTTACAAAGACCGAGACCATAGAATAACAAATAGCTTCGCTATAAGAAGCGCCACGGGGATGAATCCACAACGGGCCTTCGAATGACCTTGGAATGGTCAACAGACCGGGTGAACAAGAATACCAACACAATGATAGCCGTCGTTAACAGTGATCGCGATCCTAGCGCTCGCCTCCTCGTAGAATAGCACCGGGCAAAGGTGGAACTAACGGCTGAGATTTAGCCAGAGACAAGAGACCCTCCACTAGTAACTTGGCCATGGTGGAAGCTTTTACTTTCGGGACTTCAGCATTCTACTGTTGACTTACCTACATGGTTGATGTTCAACAACGTGTTGGCAGTTTCGTTTCGCAAACAAGCCGAAAATGGCCGACGTTTGGGAAAGTTGTTTGGCTTATGACGTCATCCGAAGCTCATCATCGACCATGTAGGTAAGTCAACAGCCGAAAATAGGATGATGACTGTTGCTCGCTCATAATTGTCCATAAGGAATTGTTGAAACCCCGAAAGTAAAAGCTTCCACCTGTCGCTAGGAGGCCAGTGGAGGGTCTCTTGTCTCTGGATTTAGCGGCCGGGGTTGCCGGGCGCTCAAAATAACCGCGGGAAATTCAATTGTACGCGCCCAGTATTCTCCGCGTGCCATCTGCCACGTGCTGGAAATATGACTTAATGCACGGAAAATGCTAGATTTTTGAGAAAAGAGAAACTCGTGAAATCATAACATTTTTCGAACAGTAAGTGATATTGACAGCATGTTGCAGTGATAAAGGGAGAAGAACACAAGGCACATACAATAAAATGAACAAATTCGGGCTACTAATAAGATAAGTTAAAATTTAAAAATACAAGAAACCAAATTATTTCTTCTGTCTTTAAGGATATATTTTTCTCCACATTTCACAGTCATACTTATGGTAATTTTCTCTCTCCTCAATATGAATTTTAACCTATCTTTTTTAAGAATGATGTGTTTTATGATATTAGATAATAATCCATAAATACTGTAAATTTTAATGAAAGACTATTAGTTGAAAACATGGGATTGAAATAAATTCATAAAACCAATTTAGAGTGCATGTAAAATTTATATAAAAAGATATTTTGCAAAAGAAAGAAATACATAAGAGCTGAACATAGTATTGTCAGTTCATTGTTACAAATTACTTTACGAGTGAGGTACGCATTTAATGTTTCATAAATTAAATATACATATTTTACAATTGTTTACAGTTTTACAATTTTTTACAGTTTTCAAATTTTACAATTTCAAACAACTCTCGACTTCTTGTACAGGGCCAGTAGATCAGATTCAGACTCCCAGGCATCTGCAACAAAGGAACGTACACAAGTAGTAACGATATGAAAGGTGTAAAAACTGAAAACTTATGATCAAAATTAGAGATCTGGGTTCTATCTAGCATGAAAGGAGTAGTTTGTGGAGGCTACTTGGAATATTGTCAGAAGTAAAGGGAATTTTGCAATAATGTATATTAATTTCCTGAATACGGGTTTTAAATGCTGTGGGTCCCTTTTGAACGTGACCCAGTTCAAGAAAAGAAATGAGTTTTACAAAAGGAATAAGGTATGAAAGTTTGGGGCACAAGCTATTCATTCTAGAGAACAAGGGAGGCAGAATGGACAGGTTATACAAGACAAAACTAAATCAGCTGATGAATATTAATTTGTGCTTCGCGCTGTTGCAATTTCTCCATCACGCCTTCTCAAAAATTAGAATTGAAAAGGAAACAATTCTGTAGCAGTGCATATTTTTATGATTAGGTCGCACCAGTGGTTCTGAAAAAAATCAGCTGATATAAGACGTATTAATCTTTCCTCTCACGGCATTGCCATATTTTGCCTCTTCAGAAATTAATTCCATTATGAAAAGATGCTAACTGGGAAAACATGCAGGTCCAACATTTTTTGCTACAGATGAGAAAAACCTTGCCAGACCTCATTTTAAAACGAACTGTGCAAAGCAATTTTTATACTAGAATTCTCTCAAAAAAGTTTGACTAGAATTTTGTCTGGAACTCCAGATTTGAATCTCGCTGAAGTCTGAGTCCCAGTCTCACAATGAGTTCCTTGGATATGCAAACCGACACAGGTTTAGTTAACAAATCAGCCACTTGATTAATTACCTGTAGGAAAAGATTTTAAATCCATTGATCCCTTTATTTAAAAGAAATGAGGGATGAAAGTTCAGGTCCGAAGCGATTTAATTTAGAGAACAAAAGAGACAGCTTATATGCAAGACAAAACTACATCAGCTGATGAATATCAATTCTTGTTTTGCATTGTTGCTAATTCTCCAACACTAATAGCAGCCTTGTTTGAAAAAAAGGAATCACATTTTTAAAAGAAGCAACAACCTCAATGCCTGCTGGTTCGCAAGCAATTTGTACAACTAATATTTACTAAATGATAGGAGAAAGCTTACTTTTCCGTATTGGCTCCTCCTGGTTTAGGAATTCGATGGAAAGACCGGGTTGATTTACTGCTGCTATGTCCACACTTGGCGCAGGCCCTTCGTTGCTTTGCAGTTAACATCGTTGGCTACGCCTGAAAGAAGAAAAATTGAAAGATTAACTTTAATGAAATACTGCATAGATAAGTACAAATGCTGAATTTAATAACTTTACAGGGTCATTCTGGGATGGGAGGTAGGATAGTAACCCTGGTACAAATCTGCTGGAAGAGCTGAGTAGAGGGATTTCATACAGGTAGCTATTAAAGTGGCTATTTACAGGTTTTACAACCTGCTATTTAGGCTGAAAAATTTACAAATTTTTTGACCGGTTGTAAACAGCAATGAAAAAGACTAATCTTTCTTCCTAAGGAGGCAGAATTGTTGCGAAGTAGGTATACTGAGCTAGCACCTATTTCAAAATGTTCCTACACCTATCAAGGAAAAATCCTACAATATCGCAATCAGGTAAGCAAGTGCTCAATAAACTGAAGCTGTAATCAACACATCGGCTTACAATCACATTGCTAGCGAACATTTTCTAGAAGTAATTCAATCTAATGGTGTGCAGTTGAGAAAGTACCTACTTTGAAATTCTTTTCAGTTCAGTTAAAGCTGAAACATCAAGGATTGATACTGTGACTTTCTCATGAGCTTTCCATGAATGTACAAAGTATATTCAGGACCTCATTCATAATAAGGATCCTTCAGAAACATTAGCTTTTGATGGATATGCACCTGCATAAGGCACCTTCAGAGCTTAAAAGAAATTACATTGATGGGGGAAAGCCCAACAAAACGTATGCATTCCGAATAATGCAGAAAATAAGTAAAAGAGGGTACTTTGGTAAAGGGTACTTACAGAAAAGATGCTCCGAATTTGGGATGACACTGGAGAATTATTACAATCGCCATACAACAACCAAACATAAGCTAAACGCACATTTATTAACTTAACAAATTCCGAACTTATCGTGATTCTGGCAATAATGGCCGACAGCGGCAATAGTGTAAACAGGTGCAGGGTCAAAGGTTACAGCTCGCCTTGCTGGGAGACAGGTCCAAAGACTACGACACTAGCGCGCTCTGCCGAATAGCACCGGCCGGAGGTGAACTAACAGTGGTACCTTGAGTGCTATCCGAGCTGAGCTAGCTGAGCCGAGAGAATACGAGCTGCGCCGAGGATGGTTAACTGAGATTCATAACTAACAACAATGACATGGTTAACTGAGATCGTTCAAGGTCATTGAAAACGCTGTTCTATTGAAAAGGTTGCCGTGGCCCTTCTTATAGCGTCAGCTAGTTATTATTCTATGCCGAGACAGAGCGCAGACGAGAGGCCGTAACTACGATTCTGTGACGTCACACTAGTAGATGAAACTCGGCCGCGGTTTAACACGCGTTCTTATGGGAGAACGCTTGCCGCGCGATGATTTCTCGCCGATATCTCTTTCAGGGTTGATCTGACGCAAAATTTCATGAGAACCGTTTAGAAAGAAGATGAAATTTCACTTTAGAAAACTAACTAGTTTATTTGTGACATTGTCCAAATATCGAGGAAATGAATGCGTAATACCGAAAATCGTTACTCCACTCAGATTCAAACGGGCCGCTCGCGCAACTTCGGCCGATCGAGAGCCACTCTGATTGGTCCACGCAGCGACTGCCTCACTCATCGATGCACTGATGACCCGGAGATGCTTGTTGTTTTCGGTAAATATCTACTAGCTTGACGTCACAGAACTGACTAGTTACGGCCTACGCGCAGACCAATCGCAGACGCAGACGGAGCGACAGAGATGGAACGAAAGATCATGCCAAGCAAGCCAATAGGGAGCGAGCAATGAAGCGACCGGCGGGAAAAGTGCTTCATTTGAATTTATCCTGGTACTTAGTTGTCGCGAAGGACACGAAAGTACGCATCGCATGGGGCCCAAACTTTAGGGGCGCTAAAGTTTCGCCTGTAACTTTCATTTATTTCATTTTATAGTTACCGACTCTTCATTTTTTCCCATTTCTTTCATTTTTTCATATATTTTATCTACTTAAGACAATATTCTTTCTCCTGAACCAGCACTTCGTTTTTTGATTTAAACATTCCAAAATTGAACTCTAAAAAGCAGTTGTAATTCTGTTCATTTTTGAATTAATTACAAGAATATCCTTACGACCTTTGTAATTTTCTGCCCTTCCTCCACTCCTAAAATAGCAGAGTGCCAAATTCACTATTTGTGTGGGTTACAATTTAGGTAGTTGTATCAAGGCGCCGTAGCAAGCGCGTACATACATATTGCATACATATTTTCGGGCAAAATGAGAGACGACGTTTCTCCATTTGCGACGTTGCAGACTTCCTTAGAAATTTTATTTTTCTTTCGAGAAGCTGGTCAACATGAAACTTAAATTCTCTATGATTTTTCGTATTCGATAGCGGAAGATTTGGTTCAAAATGTAAAGTTGTAAATTTGGATTGTTTCTCATGGAAGAGATGAATTAAGAACGGAAATTTTGAAACGCCGCAATGGAGATACGTGGTTTCTCACTTCAGTCGGACCGATACGAACATCCAACAAGCTTAAATAGTTGCATCAAGTCCCCGTCACCGCCGACCAACGCGTCTGTCGATCGAATCAACTACAGGTATTATGCGGAGGAAGTCAAAACGCCTTCAATTTTTTGAACGCAATACGGACATCCGTCGAGGTTGTATAGTTGTATCAAGGCGCCGTAGCAAGCGCGGAAAGTCGCGTAGGAAGCGCGTAAAGCCGTTTTGTGCTCTTAGATGTCTTCAAATTATATGCGGGATTCTCATTTTTCAACCAAATTATATGTGGGATTCTCCATTTTTTATTATTCAACGGAACTCTACAGAAATTGCTCCACTAAACATTTTGTTTTCGTCGACTAATGTTTCGCTTTCTATTGACGGTTATGCATTGATAAAAATCGGAAATGCGTTTTTTAGATTACGATGATAAAAGTCTTCAATGTTTTTTAATGTTTTCAAGGATAACCAACCATTAGATCCTATTGAAATTCTCTGTATATTTTCATCGCTTTCTCTAAATAAATCACAGCCAATTGCAATGAAACATTTCAATTAGTTTTCTTTGATTAAGATCGAGTCGGACGTTTTTTAAGGTGATTCGACGGTTGCTATTTTTTGCCAGAGCGACGAAAGATATATCGCATCAATTCGTTTCATAATTTAAGGTACTTATCATTTTTTTTTTTGAATTTTGAGATCGCACTGCTGTTGTCATTATGAGACTAAAGAATTCTAAGGAGACTAAGAAAAATATAGCATTCGATACTAATATCGAAAGTGCAATCGAATGCGATATTTTTCTTCTAAAAAACCCACGCCTTTAATACATTGAATTCCTTTGTGAAATTAGATACATGAATTAGTCTCATGACAATAGAAGTGCGATTTCAAAATTCGAAACGAATGACAAGTAGCTGAAATTATGGAACGAATTGATGCGATGTATCGCACGTTGCTCTGACACAAAAAATGACAACCGTCGAATCACCTTAAGCGTTACAATTAAGGTTTTACTTTTTCACCTTTAGCCATTGATGCGTGAAGAGTGGAAATTCAAAATCTGGAAAGTGTCATCCAGTATTGCTAAAATTGTGCATCTTGCTCCGTAGCGTAAAAGGACCTGAATACCTCCCTTCATTAAATTTTAGTGAAGAAATGTTCTATGAACTTTGACCTTATAGAAACTGGTGCTCAATCGTAGCAACACCTGGGGGCACTTGCCAGGTTTTGAATTTATGCTCTCCCTATAAAAAAGATAAAAAAGCACTTGATGAAAAGATTCTCAGGTTTTGATTTTACTTACTCAGAGGAGGAATAGAGGAACATATTTTGACAAGCTCGTTTCCACACCACCTTAGGAAAGCCCGATCAGGTAGAGGATACGGTGCTGCTCCTGGAGGTAGAGCTTACGGCGCGTTTTTTTTAACGTGGTGTCGCCAAGAGCCCTAATCCACGGGGAAAGGAAGAAGAAAAGGGAGAGGAAAGAGGAAAAGGGAGAGGAAAGAGGAAGAGGGAAAGGGGAAGAGGAAACAAAAAAATACACTCACCAACGCCGATGCATCTCCACCTGTCACTTCTCCATGCCGTTTTTGATGCTCCTAAAAACAGCTGTGCCCGCAGAAGACGAAAGTAGCGCCCTCCGCAACTGATTATGGAGGAGGAATAAAACAGTATCTTACCTTCGGTTGCGGGAAGATCCAGCAGCAGCAGCAGCACCTGGAACAGAGAATAAAAAAAGAAAAGAAAGAAAAGAAGGAAAAAAAAAAATAAAAAAAATGCGACGATCCCGGTACGATGGCACCCAGCAGCAGCACCTGCAACAGAGAATAAAAAAAAGAAAATAAAGAAAAGAAGGAAAAAAAAAATAAAAAAATGCGACGATCCCGGTACGATGGCACCCAGCAGCAGCACCTGCAACAGAGAATAAAAAAAAGAAAAGAAAGAAAAGAAGGGGGAAAAAAAATGCGACGATCCCGGTACGACGGTGTCCACCAGCAGCGGCCTCCCCCAACC